ATATCCCCTATACAATTTATCCACATAAACCACATAACTAACCAAGAAATAACTACATAATCAAAAATAATTTTAATTCTTTAACCAAATTAACGTCATATTTTTTTATTATTGAAAATTAAACAGCATCAAGGCAGCAGTACTTGTTTTATTGTTGTATTCAATTCAATGTAATTATTTGCACGTTTGCACTAGGTATGAGTAGAAGCGTGTAGGGGTAAATTAATATATGTTTCAATGTGTGTGTATAGTTTTGAGTAAATCCCTGCAGTTTGCGGTAACTGTATTTTTGATTATAGAAATAGCTAAGTGACTAGTTTTTATATCAAACGCCTGTCATTGGAGCAAGTCAATTAACTGAATAGACTCTGCAACAGATAACTTCTGATGAGTAATGGAACTACTTATCTGTAGATTATTTGGGGACACTAAAGTGATGTTTCTCATCCTCTCAGCATTAATTTATAATAACTCTTCAAAACACATGGTTTATTATTAAGAGACAAAATACTTCCTAAAAGGAATACACTGACCCCTTGTAAAACTGCTGGGATCATACTCACTCACACTATGATGGAATTTAAATTTGAATTTTTAACGTATTTGTTGTGCAAAAAATAGCAAAGAAAAAATATTGGTCTGTTGGTCACGTAGGCCAAAACACTTGTCATGGTATTGAAATTAGTGTATGAAAGTTTTTAAAACATAAAAAACTATTCTTTGAATTAAATAAGATTTAGAAAACAACCACTTACTAACTTTAACTATTTATAGTACGTTAGTTAAGCATATAATTAAATTTTTATTACTTTTTAATTGTTGACAACCAACAAAAAGCTCGTGTTTCCATGCCTGCATTTTAGAAAAAAAAAATCAAACAAACAATGCAAAAATTGGTTCATTTTTATAATATTCAGAACTGCAGTAATCAGGTCAAGGTGTTTCAAGGTTAATTTGAAAAATATTTACATATTCATGTATACATTATTTTTGTTGAAAAAAAGAATAAAGAAAAAACGACAAGTTCATTTTAAGAACATGACGCTAGACTTTTTATAAATGATAAAAATTATATTTCGTACAATGTATTTCAGTTCTACGACACAAAGAATGATTTATGCCGTTTGCATTTATTTTCAGTTTAAAAGATTATAATCAAAATATTTCACATACTGTGAGTAAAGTTCTAAACATTCTAATATGTAATATATCACATATAAATCGATAAATCAGACAAAGCTTGAATTTTATATCAGACATTATAATGATCTTAAAATCTGCACTACTAGATCTACATAGATCAGACTAAATATAGTCCAGACTTAAGGTTCGAGTAAACCAGATTGTCGACTGAAATATGGAATATGCTTTAGACTGATCTTTAGATCAGACTACAGACACAAAGTACACGCACAAAACGATTTCATTTTCTGAGGGGGACTTTGTATGGGAGCTAGGATCAAATTAGGCCCCATCATTACGAAAACCGGCAGTATCATTTAAACTTACATAAAACAAAATGTTTGCTGATTTTTCTAGCAATAAAATAATATTTAACATACATATTTAATTATGAACTGATATTTCCTATTTTGCGGGTAAGATTGTGTGGGGGCTAGATGAAATAATGAAGCGATTTTAACCAATAGGCTTCGTCCGTCAAAAGAAACGTTTGTGCCAAATTTCATCAAATTGTCTTGAAAATTACGACCTGTAGTTTGATTGACATGAACACACAGACGGATATAGCCAAATCGATTCCGAAATTATAATATTTCTGTGCGTTTTGCATTCAGAATTAAATATTTCGAAGAACTCTTATTTTTCATGTCTAAATTAAAAAGAAAACATAGGTATTTTGCAAAATTATAAAAAATAAAGTCATCCCTTAAATTACAATGTCCTTCGTTTTAATTTGAATAACATAAAAGATACCGTTGAAAACATAGCCGGCTTTTGGCAGATTTTAAGTCGCCGGCGAAAATTTTAGTTTCAGCTGTTGCCGCCGATAATTTTTGTCGACGCTGGTCTCTGCGACCGTATGATAAACATTTGTGCATTTCGGTTTTTCTAGAAGAAAAGAACCTCAAACACTAATAAACAAATCGTTTGTAATTTTAAGTAAAAGTTTACAAATATTTCTGTTAAATTGTAATTTATATAAAGAAAATGTTACGTTGCTACAATCGAGGATGCGGCCAAGAATATGAGCCAGAAAATAACAAAGACGGTAAGTAAGATGTTTAAACAAATGAAAACCCTAAACCATAAATTTTGTAAACATTTTACAACTTTTTTAAAAATAGTGAATGAAACTATTGATAAAATGATAATAAAAGGACAAGATTTTAAAAACTATTTATTATAGTTGCCTTTAAAGCAAAAATCTGTAAAATGTTTATTGAAAATAGCAAAATTTATGGATGTATCTTTTCGGTTGTTAAACACAAACCCCCTGCTTGAGTTTTATTTCAATTCAAAACTATTTTAGTGTGTATAGCGAATATTTATCTAAGTTTCGAGAAATTTCCATGACTAATCATTGGAGTGGGGGTTGTGATTTGTTCTCTTTTCTAGATTCTTGCCGTCATCATCCTGGTGAACCTTTTTTCCATGATGCCTACAAAGGTTGGTCTTGTTGCAATAAAAAATCTGTAGATTTTACAGAATTTTTAAGCATAAAGGGTTGCACCCTTTCAAAACATTCAAATATCAAACCACCAGAACCTGAAAAACCAAAAACTGAAAACAAAGATGAAGTAGTGGTAGTTAGAGCGCCTATTAAAGAATCAATGGAAAGACCACCTGTTGACACTGCCATGACTGAACTGAAAGCGACTGTGGCACCGGCTTTAAAAGATTTAATAGATAACTTGGTGACGAAAGATCCCGTTTTAAATGATTCCTTGAAATCAGGGTAAGTTGTTGAAATTAAAGTATGTACATACATATGGAAAAAAAGTACTTAATTCGGAGAGAACATTACAGTGAAATTGCTATTGGCACCTCTTGTAAAAACTCTGGCTGCACTTACTCTTACACCGGTACTGCTTCCGATAATGGTGAATGTCAGTATCACAGTGGTGTACCCATCTTTCACGAAGGCATGAAATATTGGTCTTGTTGCCAGCGTAAAACTTCAGACTTTGCTGTGTTCATGGCTCAGAAAGGTTGTGTTTATGGTCAACATAAATACATTAAAGAGGACGATGACAAGAGGGTGGTACAATGTCGTTATGATTGGCATCAAACGCCCAAAGATGTCATTGTTTCAATCTATGCGAAAAAATATCATTATGCCCAAAGTACAGTAGAAGTAAATCCTGTACGTCTGCATTGCATTTTAGTGTTTCCAGATCAAGAAAACGCTAAATTTGAAATTGATTTAGAATTGAGAGGTGTAAGTAGTTCTTGCCTTGAGTTAAATGATATTGTTTTATCCTCTAAAATTTCATAATATTCTTTGAACTTCCCTTTTTCTAGATTATAGATGTTGACAATACTAAGGTCCATATGTTTGGCACTAAAGTAGAGATTACCATGCCTAAAGCCGAACCATGTTCATGGGCGAAATTAGATTTCCCAAGGGAAAAATTACCGCCACCAGTTAAAGCCGGCCAACAACCAACAAGAACAAAAACTGTTTCGGTTAACGAGTCCGATGATGATGGCTTCAATTTGGATGACATTGAGGCGGTAAATGCTGGTATACAACTGTCCGAACTGGCTTCTACTAAAAATGATTTAGATTAAATTTGTTAGCTGCATAAATTAATTTAAAAAGGATTTTGTTATCCCAACTACATGTTTCATTTCAAAAAGCCACTATATTAATATTTTTTCTCATACAATTATTCTTCAACTACCAAAAACAAATCAAATTTTTCTTTTTATAAAAAATATAGACAAAAATATGCTTAAAATTTCAACATATATTAAAGAGTATTCAATTTAATGTTTAATCATCACCGGGCACCCAGTCCTCATCATCCTCATCGTCATCTTCATCCAAATCAAGTTCACCAATTCCTTGGAACAAGGTTTCATCAATTTTAACACTTTCAATACTGTCACCAGCTTCCAACAAGTATTTAATATCAGACTCATTGAGGGTGTTATCACGCATGAACAGTTCACGTCCAGTTAGCTTTTTGCAATCGGACGATTTTTCTCTTTTGGCGGCTATACCGGTGCTTTCCTCAAATTCCTGTTTCCATTTCAAAAAGGTTTCCACTGTGACACGTGTACCTTCGAATTTCTTACGTTCTGCTTCTTCGGATTCCAGTAGTTTACGTTCGGCTTCCTCTTCTTTGGCTTTTTTGAATTCATCCCATCTCTCATTTAACCATTCTTGGGCAGTACTCACTAAACTGAATATCATTTCCATGCCAATATATTCCTCTATAGATTTTTCTATATGTTCTAATAGTCGTTTTTCATAGCCTTCCTCAAAGTTGACGGGCTCATCGATTTCCACTAAAGGCGCCTCATCGGGATAAGTGGGTGTGTAAGTGAAGACCAAGAAACAGGCCAAACCATTTTCTCCCTGCTCTTTATCGTACTCTTCGGTGGCTATAGGTATTTGGAATTTGTGCAAAGGCTCTGTCTCCAAAACTGCAAGAAAAACCAATAAAAGAAATATTTACTATTGTTGTTGAAAAACCACTTACTCTCCATATCGCCACAGTAAATGGAGTCTAGGGCCTCAATTTCATTGTTCTGGTCTTCCTGATAATTTCTACTCATTTTATATCGTCTTTATAAATAAATCCCAACGATAAATAATAAAATTAAAGAAATTTGTCCAAATATTTCGTGGCAAAAGAAAATAATACCCTGCAAATGTGTTTGAGGTTAAACTCTACAAAAATGTCAAAATTATTTTATAAACAAACCAAATAACAAAGATGCCACTCTACTAGTGTAATTGCAGCGTTTTTTAATAATTTCAAATTGGCAATACTGCTATTTATACCAAAAAGTTGCCACTTTTTGTTTTTATCTTGTATTGACATTCTTTGCAAAAGTCACTTTGACAGCTGTCTTAAAAAATTTGAGGTTAGACAATTTTATCAACGTCTCTTGTGAATTTGCTTTGGTTTTGCAAAATTTGAGATATTAGGTAAATTTTATTAAAAAAAATTGTGTAAAAATTAAAAATAAATGTATAGTTTCTTTAAAATGTTAAGAAAAAATCATTAATAATAGACTTGTTTTATTATTTTAACAATTTCCTTTTGTTTTTAAGGTTTTTCTCTAACTTTAACGTTAGTCGCCGCTGCATTACATAACTTCAGAAAAAAAACAGCAAAATGTCTCAAGCTCCCGTACGTGTATCTCCTTTGATCAAATTCGGCAGATGGTCCTTGTTGACCCTTGGCATTGGTTATGGTGCCTTCCACCAAAACCGCTTGTCCAAGAAGGAAGAGAAGGTACGCGAAATCGAAGCCCAACAAAAGGTCATCCGTGATGCCAAATTGGCTGAGGAAAAGAAACGCAGCGCTGCCGCTGAAATGCGTGCCTTGGAGGAATTGTCGAAACCCACCAAGAAGGCATAAATTCACAATTTCAAAATGTATTTCGTAAAACTTTATTTAAATTAAATAACTAAAAACAAAATTAATGAAATAATAACATCATTTGGATTTAAAATCTATACAAGATGTTGTTGCGTGTAAGTGTAGTAGTGTATGGAAGTGGTCACTTTATTTGCAAGCCAACACCGATCGAAGTAATTGCTGTTTTATAAAGTTGTTCTTTAAAAAAGCTCAACTTAATATGCAAACATTGTTAATTTTTAAGAATAAAGTTGGAACTGAATGCGATAAAAAATGTGATTTTACACAAACCAATTGTTTTTTGATGAAGTGTTCTACAAGTTAATTAAAGGATTTGTAGAGAAAGTAATATGAAATCGTGTAGACCACCTGTTTTATGTAAATACTATTTCAAATTTGAAGTGCTTTTTGAATTAATCAGGGTTGTCATAGAATCCAATCATTGTCGGAATTGGTTTTGAAAAGGAACAAAAAATACATTATTGGTTTCATGAAATCTTATATTTTCGGTTTTTTGCTCGATTATGAATCGTGTTCTATAACAGAAAACTAATAATATTAGATTTTATTAAATCTGATTACGTTTTTTTAACCTTTGAAATCCAGTTCCGGAACGGAGACCTATTTGTAATAAAATCCGAACTGGTTTAATTTTTTCGATCTATATAAATTATATAAAATTTGGTAGTACTAATTTTGTTCCATCGAATTACCTTAAATTAACTTTTTTCAATTCAATAATCTTATTAAGTAAATTTTTCTAAAAAACACAATTGTGATTTCTTATTACAAATCAGGCTTTTTATCATAATGGTCACGTGCATAAAACATTAATTCCTTAATTCTTTTTTTGAAATTGAGTAATATTTTAAAGAATTAAAGATTCTTCAAACTAATACCACACGATTAAATTCCAATAATTAAGCCTTAAAGCTTTCGATGTAGTTGAATTAATTCTCCAATGAATTAATTCCTGCAGAATGTTCAATTCCTTCTGAATGAATTCATTTTGAATTAAAAAAAAACTTTTCCAATTGATTTTTAAATTCTCTCTGAATAATAAAAATTTTGTTTCAATTTAATCTATTACAAACTGAATTCAAAAATTTTTCTTTTATTTAATTTATAATAGAAACAATTATACAAATTAGAATTCAATAGAATTCATTCCTAAAAAGAATTAATTCTCTTAGGAATTAATTCAATGGAAATTTAAAACCACGAAATTGACTTTTAGAATTTAAATTCAATGAATAACTTTAAAATAAAGTAATGTAATGTCTAAAGCCGAATTAAAAATATAAGGGAATTAATTCCAAATAGAAATTATTCATTCTTTCCAAGCTTTATGTACCTTGCCACTTCGTTGATTTGTTTTAGCAAATACACAAACCTTAAACTAAATACTATAACAACTGGCAACTTCATTGATATTTTGTTTTCTCTGTAAAACAATAACTGTGGTAGCACAGTTGTCAGAAAATAAAATTAATTTGTGCGGGAAGTTGATCGAAATGTTAAAAAAGTTATTTTTTCCGGTTCAGTGTAATAAAAAAGTGTTTTCAAATGTAAAAAAAGTGTTATTAAAGTGAAGAACTGCAACGTTTTTAGGACATTATTAAAAAACGAATAGAACTTTAGTAAGAAACTTAAAAACTAAATAGTGACGCGTCGTGTTGGTAAAAAGGAATTAAACTGAGAAAAAAACGAAGTTTTTCAAAAGCTATCGTACATTATTAAATTGTAAAGTGTTTGTTACAAAATCTTCTAAAAAATTTTTATATAAATTATAGCTGCGAAAGGGTAATATAATTTGCACCACCATTAGCATGCAAGTCAGACATTAAACATGCAAAAAAGACAGCCAGCCATTAAGTCAATAACAAAAACAACAATTTATCTCACATAACGGCACTTACTGCAGGATTTCTCTTGTTTCGTTGGCTTTCTTATTGGAAATAGATGAATTGTTAGAAAATTTACCTGCCGGAGTTAAAGATTTCGTTGAAAAATTTTTTAGTTTGTAAAGTTTTCAAATATTACAAAAAATGAGGTTTTATTTTTCTCTGTCTTAAGCTAAAATCAAAAAAAATCATTGTAACACCCATGACACATTTATTGTTGCAAGAAAGTTCTCCACGTGATATTGTTTTAAATTCATATGTGACAAAAATTAGGGCAAAATAGGGTATAAAATGAATGTTATGTACAGTGTCTCTCATAAGTATTCGAATTTAGGTAAACTATGAAAAGAAACCAAATTTAATAATATATTTTGTGTGGGAAATAAATAAATAAATTTGTTATATTGTCTAGATAGTCTTTAGTTTTGATATCACGCCCCTTAAAACTTGAAAACTTTACATTTACTTAAATTAGTTATGCTTTTTTTAAAAAAAGTCCATGAAACTACTTCACAAAAGTATGCGAATTTTTCCTGTATTTCATATTTGATCATATTATACGATACACACATTTTAGAATCGCATGGTTTTATGCTTAATATGGTTTTAAGGGGTTACTATCAACCGCATGGATATATTTTTGACCCATTTGGTCCACAATTTTGGGGGATTTGTACCCTCTTTTCATGTAATATCATTAAAATGGCGATTTTTGGCTATATTTGTAATGTTTTCACCCTTTTTCCAGAGATAAAACCAAAATTTAATATTGGAATTAAATAGAAACCATAGGGTATCTAAAAATAATATTTTTTGTTATAAGGATCTGTACTTAAACGTTCCAAGATGTATTTTTGCTATCGTTTTGCAGTTTCTAATTGAATTATCTGGATCATAAGTCCCTTTTCGTACCTCTAGGGACGATATTTTCCGACAAAGTTGTCTAGTGTATATTCATGTACATATTGGCACTAATGTATTTTAAATTTTCAATATATTATAGCGGTATACAACCCCAAAACATGCCTTAACAAAACGTCATCCTATATAGTAGATTTCAGTTTTTACTACTCGTAACTTTCACGCTTATGTTGCCCGTTACAATAACACTGTAAGTCCTAAATTTTGGTTTTAATTTGATCATAGTAAATAATATTTAAACACATATCAACATTTTTGATGTGATCATAATGATATCGTGCCATGCAGCATGGAGGCCATTGGTATATAAAAATAATGATTTTACTATTTTGAATGGTGTTTCTTCGAGGCATGTTTTGGAGTTGTACACTTCCACAACACATTGAAAACTTAAAATGTATAAAAGCTGATATCTAAAAGAATATATACCAGAAAACTTTCCCCGAAAATAGTTGATCCTAGTATTATAAAAATGGACTTAAGTTCCAATATATTGAATTAGCGAAAGAAGAATGATCCGAATAATTTATCTTGGAACGTTTAAATACAGATTCTTGTAACAAAAGATATTATTTTTAGACACCCCAAGGGGTCTTTTGAGTCCCAATATCAAATTTTTGTTTTATCTCTGGAAAAAAGGAGAAAAATTTACAATTATGGTCAAAAATCGCTATTTTAATGATATTACATGAAAAAAGGGTACAAATTCCCCAAAATTGTGGACCAAATGGGCCAAAAATATATCCTTTCCGTGGATAGTAACCCCTTAAAACAATATTACGCATAAAAACCATTCGATTCTAAAATTTGTGTTGCGTATAATATGATCAAATATGAAATACAGGAAAAATTCGTATACTTTTGTGAGGCAATTTCATGGACTTTTTTTTAAAAAAGCACAATTAATTTAAGTCAATACAAATTTTTTAAGTTTTAAAAAGCGTGATATCAAACATAAGGACTATCTAGACAATATAACAAATTAATTTATTTATTTTGCACACAAAATATATTATTAAATTTGGTTTCTTTTTATAGTTTACCCAAATTCGAATAATTATGAGAGACACTGTAGTTATAATTATTTTTATATATTTTTTGTTTTAGTTTCAGATCTGTTAACTCGACCATATACCATCAAATGGTCGCTTTTAAATTTTGGCTGTTCTGCCTTAGATAAATGTACTCGTAGCACTACAGAATTTTCTAGTATAAAGGATGTCAGCAAGTGACATATTCTTTTACAAATGTCCTTGGCCTTACAACTGCCTCAAGAACCGGATGGTTTAGCTGGTGGTTTTACTTTCATTGGCACTGAGAGTTCTTTTTCCTCGAAACGTTTATTTGAAATATACAAAACATTTGCTGAACGCTATCCTTCGTTAGATATTAACTAAAGTAAGCCTAAATTTTTATTTTAAAAATTAATGCTTTCTCAATGCCCTCACAAAATTGGCAACTTCTTTCAGCAAGTTCCTTAGAATACAAACTTTCAGTTTTATTACTATAATCTTTATATGAATTTATTTTGTATTTTCGATATATTCTAAACATACTCTATGTTCTAAACCTTTTGCTGTACTTCTATAAAACGAGTTCATTTATTTTGTTTAAATGCTTTTATAATTTAATAACAAAATTACCAACTTCATGCTTTATATTTCTAAGAATATGGTTTTTAACTTTTGCTATCAAAATTAGGACCTCCTTTTGATTGGATTTTCAAAATTTGGATTTTTAAAATTTTTTTGAATAAAAAATAACCTCGTAATTTTAAAAAGTTTTAAAATCAAATGTCTTGTACTATTTCATCACTGATTTCGTCATTGTGAATTGATCTAAATAATATTGACTGTGGCTGCTGTCTTTCGAACTTATGCAAACTCAACAATTATTTACTACTTTAGCAGAACTGTGCCTTCATTTGTGTTAATCAGGTGAGTACGAGATACTATTGGATGTATTGTTATTGTATGTGTTTATAGTAATTGAATATTCAATTTTACAATGCTGAAGGTTTTTATGATAAAATTTAATATACTTGATTTTTCACCATTTTGCAAAAATTTTATAAAAAACTTGTTATTCTTTTTTATGCTTTTTGCAGATAAATGAATTATCAATGATTTCATATACATGCATATTTTATAATATTACATTATTATTAATCATTTGTCCTTATTGAATACTTTCTCTAACTTAATTTGTCGTTAAACGGAAATATTATTGAAATTTTCTGAATTTGTTGAATGATTCCTATATCAGAATGTAAAGATTTTTCCGAAAAATGTTAGTTAGTTCTTTTAACAGTCTCATTAAACTCGTTCCAATAGTAACGAGTTCACTATTTTGAACATAAAATTATAGTTGTATAGAATAAATGTCTACTCTTTATCCTCAATATTAAACAAGTACCAAGTAGGTACAGCCCATATTCTTCAGTTATAGTATAGAACAAAGAATAAACAAGAAGTGAAACGCTGTCATTTTTTTACAACAATAACATTACGCTCTTTTCACAGACGAGTGCTGTGTAAATCCAACACATATGTAAAAATTTTATTCTCTCTCCAAACTTCAAAACTTTTTCGCGAAAATTTGAGGATAATAGCACTTTGAAATATTTTTTATCACTTAACATTATATTTTATATTTTTTTTGCACAATTTGAACACATTTAATAGCCCGAAAATAATATATTTTTTACAAACAAAAAAAAAAAATATTTTTTATTTTTTGACATTGAATTTTTGTTGGTTGAAATTAAAACTAAAAAAAACAATGTTGTAAATTTTCGTATGGTAAACAAAAAAAGATATTTCAAATAAATAATTTATTTTTTCAATATTATAGATTAAAAAACAAATAGACGTGTTTATAAAATGTTTGTAGATAAAATATGTGGAAAATATCTTAAGAAACCTTTCAAAGTATAAATTGAAATGTAATATTTTTTTTTTCAATATTTTTCAATACGATTTTTTGCAACTATGTTGACTTGAGAATTCTACTAATACATTCTTAGAGTTAGGTACCGGATGACAGTAGACTTAGGTACTTTTGACAACAGTTTCATTTCTTATTTATTCTTTGGTATAGAACTTGTTATTTAACTTATATACTATTTATGACTCACATTTGTGAGAAGGGAATACTTAAGTTTGTCATTCCATTTGTAATTACCACAATCAAATTTTTTGACCATATACATTAAACCAGGGATGGCATAATTGGCACGATGGTACTTTTTGATGTTCAAAAGTACCGTGATACTCCCGAGTCTTATTTGATACTCTCAAAGCATCTTTAAAATTTCAAATTATTATTCAAATTTAAAATTCCTAGAATGTTTTAGCACATATCTACATATAATTATCAAAAACGCATCAACTGAAAGTTCTAGAAAAAACGGCGAATAAAATTATACAGTAATGGAATTATCTTCACTATTACCAGAATAAAAGAAATCTAGTTTTAGAAGCCACTTATTTAGAAGTATGTTTGCAAATCACTAATGCAGTACATTTCGAAATGGAATTTAAAATTTTTTTCTTGATTGGCATTATATGAATATTAATCTAATTAAAATTCCATTGTTAATATTTTATGAGAAAATTTCAATATTGAAAAAATGTTTGACTTTAAGACTCATTATTTTCAAATGACAGAAACTCGAAGGTTTCAATTTCTATCTAATATGAAACGATATGTTTTGAAATTATGCATTCAACTATAGATAATATAAGAAATATTTGGTCAAAAATATTTGGACTTTAAAGCAAATTATTGTTTGTTGTCATATTCAGAATCGGATGTACTAGGAAATATCCTATGTAAGGTCTCATGTCATGGAGCGCAATGTGTAGAATTTGATATGACAATCGATTTTTGAAAAATTAACACCTACATATTTTAATTTAATAACACATATATAAGAGATTTATTGACAATAAATTATCGTTACTAATACTTGTAGCTCAATTATTTCTGAATTTCATTAAGGCCATATTTATTAAAATATAACAAAATGACTGCATTAAATTTAAATATTAAATATTTACAAAGTACAATATCGGGATGATATTTTTATTGGAGCTATTTGATACCATGTACCCATTTGCTGGACAAGAAATTTCATCAAATCATATCTAAAATGTTAACATTGAGGGATAGACAAATATTCATCATATCAAAATATAATGCCCTTTCTACTTCCGTTGTTTATTTTTTAAAAATGTCTAAATATATGTAAATGCATTTAAGAAATTACCAACTTTCAGCAAAAAAATTATTTTAGTACTCTGAGATCCAAGAAAGTACCCTCAGAAATATTTTTTGATACTGAAACACAATCTCATTTTCCATCCCTGCATTAAACTGTCGATTTAGAGATGTATATTTTTTTGTGTGTAGTTGTTGCTGGGGCTGACAGCCCTTGGCCGATAACTTCGGGTCATTCCGGTACGTAAAACCGGCTGTCGGGGAATATTTTTTTGTCTGTCTATTCGTATGTTTCTTGAAAACAATTTACTTAAGGTTACATAAATCTCTCGGATCCAAATCTCTTATAATTGTATCAGATATGCTTTCCAGAAGATTGTATTTTAAAATTGACGAGGTCGGTCTAAAAATTACAAAGTATATATATCAAACAAAGATATGTACATATTCGAATGACCTTTCATTTGGTATGCATCTTGTCTAGGAAAAAAACAATTATTTTTAATACATAATAACGCTTACTTCCACAAACCATTTATCAATACTTAATTAGTACACCTTGCCACTACGTTAATTTATTTTAGCAAATACACCAACCTTAAACAAACATCAATTCTAAAACAACTGGCAACTTTATTGATATTATTTTTTTTTTCTGTAAAAAGTAAGTATGGCAGCACAGTTGTCAGAAAATAAAATTAATTTGTGCGGGAAGCAGAGACCTGCGCCGATCGGCTCACAGCCGACTGAGCCGAGCCGCCGAATAAATTTAGAAGCCGCCGCCGCCGAAAATTTTTTCGGCTTATATCGGCTTAAATTGAGCCGCCGATTCCTATATGCATATTAATACTATATGTATTAAAATTAAACAAATTAAAAATTATTACCATTTTATATTGTTTAAGCCCCCTTCACACGAGCACACAAGTAATATGATCTGTCAAAATTTTGTGTAGAAGAGAACGGATAGGATCGTCTAAACGCAATATGTAATGAAACCATCACACATTGAGAGAAAATACGGATGGAAAATGTGACAGTCGTATAGCTCTCTTCATTTTTTTAAATGATTAAAAAAACAAGCAAGTCGCATTAGATCAGGGATGTATTTTTATGTAAACACATACAAAAAAATGAAACAGCTGTTTCCATCTTACTTTGTTATTGTTTTATACCAATCGTTTAAACACAAAAAATATAAATCATACGACTTTTATTCTCTTTTTTGTCATATGGATGGAATTTCAATTTACTTTTTCATTAGACTTTTCGTATGTAAAATGTGATCGTCTGAAGGGCCCTTTACTGAAAATTTAAAATATTTAAAAAACGTTATTTTTATATATGGTTCGAGGCATTACTCGAATTTCGTGTTTTTGAACTGAGTACTACAAATTATGCATTCCAATTCTTTATATAAATACGTACATATGTATGTATATCTGTTTACAAACAAAAAAAAACTAAAAATAAAACTCATGCTTTTAGATGTTGTATTTATTTTAAATTCAAATGAGAAAAATTTATATGTTTAAAATTTGTTAAAAAAAAAACATTCTTTCGTTTTTCTCGAAAAGACGTTTTTTGAATTATGTTAGTATTGTGAGCATTATTTTTGATTGGCCTGATGTTTTCCTTTCCATATCACAAAACTAAAAGAACTTCAATAATGTCTGTTTTTATTAATCGGAAACGTGAATACTAAAAACGTTTATTTTTAAATTTTATACAATATGGCAAATTTTATTCGGCTCACAGCCGACTTAAAGCCGCCGCCGAAACTTTTCTACATAAGCCGCCGCCGCCGTCAAATTTGCTCGGCGCAGGTCTCTGGCGGGAAGTTGATCGAAATTGTGAAAAAATTTTCTTTTTTCCGGTTAAGTGTAGTAAAAAAGTGTTTTTTAATGTAAAAAAGTGCTATTAAAGTAAACAACTACAACGTTATTAGGACATTATTAAAACAAATCCAACAGAACTTTAGTAAAAAACTCAAGTGACGCGTTGTACTGGTATAAAATAATATAATTAAGGAAAAAAGTGTGTTAGTTTCTCATAAACACTGTTAAATCAATAAATTGCAAAGTGTTTGTTACAAAATCTTCTTCAAAAGTTGAATACAAATTATAGCTGCGAAAGTGTAATAATTTGCGCCAGCATTGGCATGCAAGGCAGGCATTTAACACGCAAACGAAAGACAGCCAGCCATTAAGTCAATAACAATAACAACAACATTGGTATCTCACATAACGGCACTTACAGCAGGACTTTTCTTGTTTCGTTGGCTTTTTATTAAAAATGGCTGAATTTTTAGAAAATTTATCTGCCGGAGCCAAAGCTTTGGCTGAAAAAGGTACTTTAGTGTGTAAATTACTAAATCCAAATATTACTAAAATGGTGTTTTTCATTTCATTTGTATCTAAAGCTAAAATCAAAAATGCCGAACAGGCCATTTTAACACCTATGGCACATTTATTGCTGCAAGAAAGCTCGCCACATGATATTTACGTTTTGAAATCCTCTGCCGCAAAAATGGTGGCAAAAGAACGTATAAAGGGTAAATTATGGAGTTATTTCTATAATAATTTTTTTCATAAACTTTTTGTTACAGTTTCAGATCTTTTAACACTACCCTACAGCATGAAATGGTCTCGTTTAAGTTTTTGCTGTGCGGCCTTAGATAAATGTACCCGTGGTGGTATTGTTACTCGTGGCATTACAGAATTTTGTGGCATTTCTGGTGCCGGTAAAACTCAGCTTCTTTTACAATTATCCTTAACGGTACAACTGCCTCAAGAACTGGGTGGTTTAGCTAGTGGTGTTGCTTTCATTTGCACTGAGAGTTCTTTTCCCTCGAAACGTTTATTTGAAATGTCTAAAACTTTTGCTCAACGCTATCCTAAGTTAGATATTAACTATTTGGCCAATGTTCATGTGGAACATGTTTTGCAAAGCGTAAGTTTTTCTTTACGATAATCCTTTTGCTAAATTCCTATAGCTATGTTTAAATGCTTTCATAATTTAATAACAAAATTATCAACTTCTGGATATACATATATCCTAAAACTACGCTTTTTAACATTTCCTAATAAAAATAGCATCTGCTTTTGATTGGCTTTTTAAAATTTGGGTTTATTAAACCTGTAATCCTAATTTAAATATAAAATACGCTCATAATTTCAATCATTTCCATTAATTTCAACCATGAATTTCAATATTGACTTCATATCAGGAACAACTTTTAAAATGTGTTTCCGAACGTTTGCCACCACTGATGTCGTCGCTACGTATTGGTCTAATTATTATTGACTCGGTGGCTGCTGTCTTTCGTACTTATACAAATTATATTGAGCGTGCTAAAGATATGCGTAAATTGGCAAATTATTTACTACATTTAGCTGATAAATACAATTGTGCTGTCATTTGTGTTAATCAGGTGAGTACGAGATATTATTTGATTGTTGTTTTTGCTTATATTTATTGAAGATTCAATTTTGCAATGATGTAGGTTTTTTAAATAACTTTAGAAATTGACTCATTATTGCACTATTATAATTTGCTTTTCTACCTATATTTTATGCGAAAATATTAGAGAACCAAAATTTCTTTTTTAGTAGTTTTATAGATTTACTACGACTGTTTTGAATTGTTATCATATACGTTATAATATTACGCTATTATTTATCATTTGTTTTTACTTCTTTATCTTATATTGTCGCTAAACGAAACTGGTATAGAAATTTTCTAAATTTGTGATATGTAAGTAAGTTTTTTTAACAACCTCTTGACATTTGTTCTAATATTAATAATTTCAAATGAGCTCTAAAAAGGGTTTTTAACTACTTCAGAGGGTTGGCAATTTTGAGCCAATATTATACGTCTATAGAATAAATTTCGCCTCTTACTACCATTGGTGACATTTTTATATAAAAATGTTTAGGCTAAACTTCTAACTAGTATCAAGTATAGCCCATTAGTAAAGCTAGCTGGCATTAGTCAAGTTAGCTGTAGAACAAAAAAAAAAAAAAAACTTTATATACCCTTTACCTTCTTTAGAAGGGTTTATATAAGTGTTTGTATTCTGAATTTTTATAAATAGCGAACTCGATCTAGCGATGTATATCTGTCCATCTATCAATTCCTATGGAAATTAGTTAGCTAGTAAGTTTACTAATCCACTAATTAAACAATTTCTCTGCTTGACACCAATCTGAACGCTTCCATTAATTCACTTTACTTTTGCAATTAACATCATCATCAACAACATCTTCTTTAACATCATACAACGCAACCGTAATACTAACACAATAATTGAAACTATTATCCAATATATTTCCCCCTCTTCTCTCTCTCTGTCTCCCATCAGGTAGCCACGATCAGTGATAAACAGCCTGAAGTACCATGTTTGGGTCTATCCTGGGCCCATTTAGGTCGTACTCGTATGCGTATCACTAAAATACCCAAACAAATACAATACAATGATAAACTTTTAACGGTACGTAAATTAGAAATTCTATATTCTCCCGAAACACCCATAGAATATGCAGAATTTCTAATAACCGAACAAGGTGTCATAGATGTACCGTGCCTTAAATAAATACAACTTATTTTCTTTTTTTTTCAATTGAATTTTGGCATATATTTTATGACTGTTTTGTTGTTAATTAATATTTAAAGCTAAACATAAGTTTTGTACATTTAATAAGTTATTATACATATACATATATGGTTTCTTTCCTTTTTTGCTTTTTAAATATACATAAAGTTTAGGTTTTTATTCTTATATTCTTATAATTAATATTAGTTATTGTTAAAAAAATAGCTTAGAAGAGAAAGTTTTGTATTTATTTGTTTTAAAGGATTAATTTGAAAAAAAAAGAAATATATATACGGATTTTCTTTTATATATTTTATCATAAATGTTATGGTTATTTTTTTATTGAACAGCTAAAATTGAGCATTTTCCTTATTTATATTATTACTTAAAATTTAAGGTTTTATTTAGGGGTTGTTCCTCTAAATGCGAACGAAAATAATATTTTTTATTTTATATTAAAAGCAACAAATAAATTCGCAGAATTCGTTTGTATTTAGAGGAAGATAAACTTAATTACTTAAAATTATTTATTTATTATGTATGTATTTTATTGTGATTTAGTTTTATTACATCGTATACTTTAAATTAAAATTAATTTTTGAATTTATTTAAAATTTTCAATTTATCACATGAAATATTAATAGTTTTTTTTTTTTTAATTATAATTTATCATCTTAAAAATTCGTAGAATTATAATACTTTAAAGACTTGCTCCAAAATAACATATTCTTCACATATTATTTAATATTCTCTGGTGTTCCATTTAATAGTTTTTTTAAAGATCAAAATTAATGGCACTTTTAGGCTTTCGCGAATTGATGGCACTTTTAAGCTTTCGCCAATTGGTTTTCAAAGTTTTAGTTATTATTTTTCGTAAATATATCTAAACACATTTTAAACATTGAATTCTTAACCAATTCCAATTACTTTTAACCAATTATAGAACAGTTGAAATTTAGAGAGAACCTTTTGGACCTTTTGGACAATTGTGATAGCCTTAAAATGATTCTTATCTAATTTGGGCTGTTTTATTATTGTTGTGGTCCCCGAGAGGATCATTCGTTAATTCTAACTAATTTAATTAGATTTGTTGATGCCATATTCTTGGAATAGTTACGTAAAAGGTGTTGTACCGATTCTTCTTCGTTTTAACAAATCCTGCTATATGTTATGTGAGATTTGACATGTATTAAGAGTCAAGAGATTTAAAGTCCTTTTCTGTGAAATATAGGGTCAGACAATATTCTGCAAATGGTATTAGTGGATCACTTAAGATTCTATTTTTCTGTCATTCTTTCGTTGATTGTGTACAGTCAGCTGTTTTTGCGAACAGGATTCTTCAATTACGCACTCGATGGCAATTTTGTTTCATCGAATGTCGTCGATTTTATCATGTTTTAGTAATCGCTATTTCTAAAGAAAATAACTATATCTGTGAATCATTCATTAGCAGATGAGTTTGCTCTTGAAAGTTTGTCTATAACTAGTTCCAAGAATGACAATATTTTACAAATTCTTTAATTTAAATACACTCTTTAGAAACAGTGAGCAATACTCTAGAATAATATTTATCTAAGGACTATAACATGTTGCTATTTTAAGCGTTTAATCTGAAATTTAATGGTTCTTAGTTTAAGAACTGTAACTCGAATTTTCTTTTGTAACAAGTCTCTCAAATGCTTCTAAAAGTGAAGAACTTTTTTAAATTTTAAAACCAGTCTACGTTTGACTGGCGAGATCTTATGCTTGAATTCAATAAAGAATAAAGCTGATAACAAACCAAGTAACAATATGGGAAAAGCATAGAACTCTTCTCTAGCGCTCTGTTCTAGAATTACAGAAATACTTTTCATTTTTTAAAGCAAATTCCAAAATGGTTTTAATTAATTTAAAATTTAATAAAAAATTTCAGAATTTAATTAAAAAAGCAGTAAATAAATATGTATTATTATAACAACTCCTTGTTCAGTTGTTGCTTATATAAGAAGCTTCCTGGAAAGAGTAGTTAAGGAAATATAAGAAAAAATTCCGTTGGAAATGCCTTCATGCTGAAGGAAATGCTATCTGAAACAAGTATTAATTATTTCATTTACTTTCAAGAGTGATAGTTCATTAGTTTTAGTATATTTCAGATTAGGGAATAAAACCGAATGTTAACTTCAGTTGTCTACCCACGACAGTTGGATTATCGATCCGGATTGACTTGAACCACAACGTGAGCAAAAATTTACTATTGTGATTCTTTCGTAAACTGATTATATACAATAGATTGTAAATCGGTTTTATGTACCGGAATGATCCGAATTTATCGCCCAAGGGCTGTCAATACACAACTATATAAATGTGCGTGCGAATTTAGAAAAATGGAACAAGAAGGAATAATTTTAAAATGAATTATTTTTTTTTTCGAGGCCCTCGAAATAGGTGATTGTTTTTGAAATGATTTCATATTTTAGGTTTATAAATAAGAAATAGTCATTCGGGTCTAACTCCTGCAAATAGGGCTTAGCAATTTGTAGCTTAATTTATGGATATTTGCCATGCACACTTTACATGTTCATCTTTGCATTGTCTTTATTGTGATTAAATTCGGCACTCATCCTAGGGAAAGCTTTCTCATACCCTAGTGAACATTCAAAACTTAAACACGTGAGTCATTTGTGATGCACATGGATCCCAAAATCTATAGCAGTTTCAATCTCCGATCGGTCAACACCATGTCGTGGATTTTTTCAATTGTCTCGGTAGTTAAGCCTATAACTGAGCTTGTACAACCACAATTGTGGTTTGAGCAAACAAAATTTCGAATAATTTTAATACGTAGCCTACCAAATTTTGACAGGAGTCCTTTGACAAATGTTTGTAACTAGGGGCAGTGTTGCTCCTGTTAAGAGTTCTGAAATTCAAAAAGTCAGAGACTTATTGACTTTTCCTCGCAACATTTAATGAAACAAATTCGAAACTTTAGAAAGTTTAGAAAAAAAATTCTAGTAAAAATTGAATAGTATTACTACAAATACATATTTTATTTTTCTTCAGAAAATGGTATTACAGAAAGCACAGGATATAGTAATTATTTTTTTTATTCGATTCTCTTTAAGATAAAAAAATTAAAAATAATGACATACATTTATTTACATATTAGAAATACATATCTTAATATATCTAATTTAATAACATATATAATTGAGCTTCTTTTAAGAAATATTTAGTTATTTTAAATATCTTAGTACATATTATGCATTAAGTTTACTTTTAATAACTAGTCTATATTATATATATTTAATTTATATAGAATTAATTTAATTTTTTTGGCACACATTTAACTTTTCTTTTTTGACTGGAAGATCTTTTTTAATATTATATTCTTAAATTTGAGTAAATTTTAAATTTCCTTCATTTCAGCATCGTTGTCAGCATCCTCTGTTTCATTGTCCGTTGTCAATCCGTTTTTATTCTCAATAAAATCTTCAAATTCCATTTGATGATCTTTATCATCCACACGCTGATCCTTAATATTATCACAAATCAACATTTTCTTATCTTCCACATTATTATCCTCCTCATCCTCTTCGATTTCCTTCACTTTACAAAGGTTTTTTGTTGTTAGTTTAGTTTCCTCTTTAACATTCAATTTATTTAATTTTTGTGAACTTTCTAATTTGATTGAAGACTTTTTATCGTCAGTATTTTCAGTTCTTTTATGGGATTTTTCCTTAATGGTCAATGGTGTAGTTTCGTTGGCATTTAGTTTGGCCATTGCTAAAGCATTTGAAATTTTTGATGCAGCCAATTTACTTTCAAAATCCATTTCACCATAGTGTGGACTTTGACCATGTGCTGCTCTCAGCAATGTTAATTGCAATTCACGATGTTGCGGTGATTCTTCGAGTTTGATTTCTAATTTTTCAGTCTGTTCCAAGGGTGCTGCAGGCTCTACCGTTAATGGAATTGCATGATGATGATGTGGTATATGACGATGATGATTATGACTGTGATGATGGTGGTGATGATGACGATGATTATTTTGTGTTGTTGTTGTCTGTTGTTTCGCATTTGTGCCATTATCCATAGCCTTTGTATTATTTGATGATTTGTCTGCAGTGGAAACATTTAAAGCACCCCCTCCTGCAGCTGTTGCATTGCTGTTGTTGTTATCATGCTTTGTGCCTGCAGCATTTTTCGAGGTTTTCTCTAGTATTGCATTCAATTGTTTTTTGATTTTTGTCGTTTGTTTGGCGGTTAATTTTGCACTTAATTCATTTGCAATATTTCGTTTACTTTCAATATTACTGTTGCTGTTGCTACTACTATTTGTGTTGTTAGTGTTGTTGTTGTTGTTGTTGCTACTATTGCTGCCAGGTGAATTGTGTGAATTCTTTTTTGTTGCTGCCACTACCATTGTTTCAGCATTTGCTGATAATGTTGTTGTGGTTACTGAACCATTTGTTGTTGCCGGTGTTTTGCCATTTCCATTTGTATTATCTGCTGTAGTTGTTGAGGATGTAGATGTTGCTGATGATGTTGTTGTTGTTGCTGTTGATTTACCATGATTTGCCGATTTTACTTCGGCTGCCTCAGAGTTGGTGACATTATCTTGCCGCTTCCATTTAGTACGACGATTTTGAAACCATATTTTAACCTGAAAATTAAAAATAAGGAAATCAATTGAAGTTTAATGAGTTTAAAATTGCGGGAAATAACTTATTTTAAATATAAATTAAAGTATTTATCAAATATTTAATCAAGTTAAACCAAAAATGCATACGTATATACGAACAATTTTGATTAATTTCTGACAGGAAATTAAAAAATCTATTCATTTACCACTTAATTTAGAAAACACTTTATAGTATTAATAATTATACCCTACACCACTATAGTGGGGAGGGTATTATACGTTTGTGCTGATGTTTGTAACACACAAAAATATTGGTCCTACACCCACCTTTAAGTATACCGATCGACTCAGAATCACACAAGGACGAAGCCTATGGTTGAAATCGGTCCATTATTTCACCTAGCCCCCATACAACCGTACCTCCCGATTTGGGCTTTTTATGCCATAATTTCGTCAAATATACTATTATCTCTCTATAAATTGGCACAAATAAGTTTTATATAAGTATAAATGACACTGCAGATTTTCGTAATGATCGCCCCATATTTGACCCTAGCCCCCATACAAATCCCCCTTCAAAAATTGTCTTAAACGTCTAAAATTGACTTGTAACCATTTGTATCGCAATGAAACTCAACATAATTATCTATTATTTAAAAATATAGCCTTTTCCCAAATTTAATGAGGATCGGCCCATGTTTGACCTATACTCCTATATAAAGCCTCATTTAGAAAATTTGGTTTTTATCAATAAATTGCTTAAATACTTTGGAATTAAGGTAAAATTCAACATAAAAGTTTCTTTGTGAAAAATAAAAATTTTTAAAATATACTCATGGTGTAGGGTGTTATATGGTCGGCCATGCCCGACTATACTTTCCTACTTGTTTTTATTAATTTAATTTTTTCTCTCATGAAATCAACTGAAATCAAAAATTCGTTCCACACTAGAAAGTATTTTTTTCAAAACTGTAGGCAAAAATAAAAATTTAGCAAATTCATACATATTGATGTAATTTAAAAACCAATTAACTTTTTTCCTTCAGCATATATATATTTTGCGACACTCATACTTATGACGCTTACGCAAAAAAAAAAAAAAAAAATAAATTTAATAAAAAACTAAAACCGCTATAATAAATTTAATTAAAAATATTCTATATTTAATCTGAAGATTAATGCAGCTGCATATTTTTCGCACTTAATGTAATAGAAAATTTACTTACTATTACAATTAATGCTGCAAACATTTTTTGCGTAAATCAAATACGCTAAAAATTTAAATCATCTAATAGCTAAATACGTATTTTCCCATTTGACTATAATGCTTTATACTGGTATAAGATATATAGTGTATAAATCGTGTATCTACTATATCGTATTAGTGTATTTGGCTACCGTTTGTAATAAGTACAACTAGATATTTGCTTGACTGACGAGATTTGTAGGTTTTCTTCTCTTTCTCTCAATTGCAGTGCCACACAGGTGCTTTAAGGTATGTTATCATGACATTTAATTAAATTAAACAAAATTAACATTTATTTAATTTCAGAATCGAAACTGATATATGTATATTCGGTTTCATTCCCTTGTGTCATTCTATCTTTATTTTCAATTAAATGTGTCAATCCATTTTTATTCTCAATAAAATAATTCAATTATATCAGCCGATAGTTCTCGTCCAAATTACATTGATCCTTAATAGTATCAAAAACTATTATTCCTATATTTGTTATGAGTTTCATGACGGTAGATTCCAATAAAAAGTATTAGCACAACACTTGCTAAAAATTTCCATGAATTCTTGGATTTATTTTAAACCACTAATAAGGAATTATCAAAGGACCTTTGGGTCTACCGATAACATATATCGTGTTACCCCAGAATTTCTTGACCAATGTTCAGGGCCACTTTTCAGAGATCCTAAGATTATTTGGGATAAACCACTATTAAGGAAATCTGTGACTACTGATTCCGTATATCGTGTTATCCCAGCCCCTCCTTAAAATTCCATAATGACCACAAATCCTCTCCAGAATTTCTTGACCAATTTTCAGGGATCCTAAGATTATTTGGGATAAACCACTAATAGGGAACTATCAAGGACCTTTGGGTCTACCGATACCATATATCGTGCTATACCAGCCCCTTCTTAAAATTCCATAATGACCACAAATCCCGCCTAGAATATAGAAATTTGTTGTTTTCTTTATTTTTTTTATTCTGAAAATATTTCAGAAATATTGGATATATGATTTTGTTAACCAATTATAGCCTTTTGACTGTTAATTGGTTAACAGTGCACTGTTAACTGCAAAAATAGCTATGTTAAAGAATTTGGTTTGCGTTTTTACTAGTTAAATTCGAATTTATCTTCACACTCTCAACAAAGCCATATATACCTGCGACTACTTCTTTTTTTAATATCCTGGACTTAAACTTTTCATTTAGGGACTGACTAAATAATCTATTATCAATAAGTGATAACTATTCCAATTAAGTATTTACAACCAATTCAGATTATAAATTATGTACACTTTATCTTTCAACGTGATTCCTGTTAGTTTAATTAACACTCTTGAGAGTTTTGCAAAAACCTGGGGAATTTACACTTCAATTTCTTGATCACCTAAAACAGGCGGTCAAAAGAATGTTAAATCGAATAAACTGTAACTACTGTCACTGACTCTAGACTACCACTAAATCTACTTTCTTGCTAATATAACGTGCCCCGAATCTTGATGCTGTAGATCATATTTAAACCAGATTTTGTAGCCTGAGGTCAATGTTAAGATGAATTGCCTGTTCCTCATTGGTTATCATACCATTTTTTAAACTTTGGCTTAGATACGATAAAAACTATCTATTAGGCAACTTTAGGAACTATCTCTTGAAGTCTCCAATTATTGTATAGTTAAAAAAATTTAAAGTATACACTCTTTCAAACTTCTCTCACTCATTCCGCTTGTTGGGTGTTTAGTGAATTGTGCATTTTCGTACATGTACGTTTGCAATAGTGTCGCCATACATTAAATATATGCTATATAGTTTGTTTATATTTGTTGATGTTGGTGCTGCTGCTTTTTCGTATAATTTTTATATCTGAACAATTTTTCATACTTTTGACTAAATGAAAAACGAAATGTATGTTGCCACATTAGAGTGCCGCCAAATACAATTCAAGTATTTGCATAAGATTTCTTTTAAGCATTTTTTTTTTCGTTTAATCGTAAGAAAGCAACTACAAGAAATAAAAACTAAAAACAAACAAAATCATGAAAGACATGACAACAGTTGAAATAATTTTGTGATACCTTGCTTGTCCCAATTGCATTGCCAGCAAGGCAGTCAACGAGCCAGCCAAACAGCCTGCCAGACAGTCAGTGAGTTGCTAGTCAGCCACAGCAGGCCAGGGTGGTATTAAGAAGCCAGCTTGACTGCAAAATGTTTTTATACTTTCTTCGCCTTTACCGCTCTTTATTTAAATTTAGCATTTTACTATCTGTTGTACTAAATAAGACCAACAAAAGGCGGCAAAAGTCACATTTTATGTTTAATATAATTGCTTGGGTGGTTGCTAAAGGAAGTGTTAACAATGGGATGAAAAAATTTGCAATAGTTCACTTATTCTAATTAGGCTATAAAGATTTTATGGTTTAAATTAACTAAAAAGTAATAGCTTAAGGACTTGGTAAATTAAAAACTAGTTTCATTGCTTCTTGCTGCAACCCACTGTGCAGTTGTAGCTTCACCAAACATTAGACCACTTTAAATGCTACATTTTTGGGCTTTTTCTTACTTTTTTTTTGGAATATTAGCAAACTACTACATAATTCTAGCAGTGCTACTGCAGCGGCAGCTGATGATGATTGTGCTTGCAAACCAATTAAAATTCAAAGAACCATGAAGGCCTGTTTATATAGAATGTTTTTATTTCTCTTTTTTTTTTTTTTTGCTGCAACTACTATTTGAACACAGAAAATTAAGAACATTTTTTCAGAAGGTTCTTTATTTCTTTCTTTATACACATTTTCTTCTCATCTATTCTGTTGGAAAAATACAACTTAAAAGAAAGAACAAATTACTTTAAGGTTTTTATAATTGATGTTAAGCAGCAGTAAATTAATGATGCTTCTACCACAGTTACTGACGACGACGACGACTGACTTTAAGGCTGAAGTTATAAAGAATTTCTTTTTTACTTTTTTTTTTTGATGGTTTTGTTGTTCTTGTTATTATTGCTATTGTCCAGCTGTAGAAACTATAAAGTTTTAAATATTGTACAACAAAGTAGAAACAAATATTTCAAGTATTTCCTTTACAGTTATAAATCTTTTTGTGGATTTAATGTAAACTTTTCGGAAATAAAGAATTTGGTGAAATAAAGGAAAAGTTGTATTACAAAAAGAGGTAAAAATAATGGCTTTCAATGGTTCTTACTAAAAGGTTATTAGCTTTTGTAATATCACATTCAAATTTGATCCTTGTCTTAAAAAGTATGTACTTTGTAAAAGTCAACCACATAACACGATATCGAAGGATATGTTGGAAGAATTATTCTCAGCTCTTTCCTCGTCATAGAGGTTTTAACTTTCTATATTGACTGAAAAAATTGCAGAACAAATGCCAAAAAATTTAACGAACTGGGATGTGTATCAAATTTTTGTTGTTGCTTGACTGTGGCCTATAGTTCTTTTATGTGAAAAAATCTTCGTTTAATATAGCTGTCGCTGAGTTGATTATCTTTGACTGATTAGGTCTCGGGTCGCTTCGGAGCAAAGATCCAATTGTCGTGGGAACGGGATCAAATTGGTAATATCAGAATCTATACCCACAGCTAAGGAATCTACGAGACTATTGAAGGTGTTCTTAATTTGTACCTTGAATGCTGAGTATTTATCATTAAGAAGGCGAACATTTTCGGTCTATGGTTTTAGCCATATGATACCAAGGGAACTTGTACCCTTGGACTTTGTACTGTTCTAGTTATTGGAGAGATCCTTTAGGGATTCATAAAATGG